TGAAATCAAATTAAAAAACATATTTGTGTATTATGTCTATAAAAAATTATCGGAATCGGTGGAATTCGCATCTTCTTCTTCCTTCCCACTTTCATGATCAATCCGTCATTAGAGTTTCTAAACTTGCTTGATATAAAAGTTTGACATACCGCTAACGTGAATTGTTTCAATGGAGTATAATATCGAAAGACTCAAAACATTGAGAGGATTGGATGTATAAAATTTGTGACTGTTTAGAGGTGATTTGGAGTTGATTGAAATTGAATATTCAGAGTATACCTCATGTGTAGTTTGTGCAATTATACTTCAATGTACAATTAAGTTATACTTTTACTGTTCCAAATGATTTGTTCATTTTTTCTTTTTTAGTAGTCTCCAATTATTTATTCATTTTTACAAATTGAGAAAGAACAATTTTTTTTACCTATTATGTCCTTAATTATTTACTTTGAAAAACGTAAAACTTTTTAAAATCTTAAATTTATAATCCATCTACTTTACAATTAATATAGGTAAAATGGTAAACTCACTATGTCAATAATTATTTTCTCAATATCTGTGTCAATTCAAAAGTATACAAGTAACTAAGTTCATCTTTTTGAATATATTATAATATATATATACAATGTATAACTCACGTATAGATAAAATATATTATATAGTCAGTGAATAATTCTTATGATTTTGGCTATAACTTATACAAAGAAAAAACATGACTATATTTATTGTAAATTAATTATTGTATTGTATACATTCGAAACCATCCCTTTTACATATAAGAGATTTTCTTATCGAAATAATATATTATTTAAATTGTTTACCAAAAGATATATATTAAAAAGGATCAGAACTAATTAAAAAATGTTATCATTTTTCTTAATTCGGTTAAGAAATGGATCTGGAAGTACCATAACCTTGCATGGATGTATCTGCACGCTAGTATAGCAATCCTAAGCACAAGTTCATACAAATTATTTACAGATTGAAGAGCCACTAGAGTGTTATCGATCACAGGTCTCAATTTCAAGTCATAATTATAAAAAGATTCTTCATAAAAAATACGTTTTCTCAATGAAATATAAATCTTAATTAATCGAAGTCATGCAGAACATAGAATAAGAACCAACTAAAAAACTTACTGCTTGTATTACTGCCGACACATTTGACTCCTTCGATTGGGGGAGAGGGGGTGGGTAGGGGTGGGTGAAGCTATAAATGGATTTTGTGATATAAGCTTTCTATCTACCCACGTAATTTCATGGATTCTATGAGTTTTCTGCGGGTACGTTTCTAGCTACCCACGTGATACACATTCTTAAGTCTAATTTCATAAATTCCGTGCCAAGATATAATTAGACAAAACAAATTAAAATGAATGAAGTCGTAAGATAGTAATATATAAATATACTCTTTTAACTTGACTTGAGATTATATATATATATCTTTTAATTTTGAATCTGAATAACTAGATACCTAAACTTGTATAAAGTTGAACATATAAATATATATGTCCTATATGACATTCTACATGGCATTTTGTGTCCTATGTGGTGTCATACGTGTATTATGTTACGTAGGACCTTGTTAAATTTTATACAAGTTAAAGTATCTACTTGTGCACCACAATTTGAGAGCGTAAATAGAAAATGAGACCAAGTTAATTAAAGTAGACATTTATGTATTATGCCAAGTAAAAGTTAGCTAGCATATCTGTTTTGATATCATTTTAAAGTGTGTGATCATTAGTTATATTCTTAACATGAATACATACAATAATCCATTTTTTTTAAATATCTCAGAAAGTATGTATTTTTCATGTTCTCAAAAAAATTGTGTATTTTCAGCTGTTATCTCCCATCCCTGTGATGTTGTTTCTTATTTTACAAAATATAGTCAGCATTAACAAATAAGCTATAATAGTTTGAAGAAAAAGCAACCATATGAAGTCACTATTGAGTATTGACAAATCACAAATCATTGACGATCCATCCAAAGGTCGACACACACGCACAGATGGAAATTTATTAATTTAAATGCATATAATATTGAATATACTTAGGCACCTGCATAAAGGGTCATAACTATTAAAACTATAGTATGATATAATAGTTTCTATATCTCAATTTAAACGATATTTTTCGTTCTTTAAGGATTGAATAATTTAATTTTAATCAGAGATTTTTACGAACTCTATAAATTTATACTTGTAAATTATGTAAAAAAATATAAGTCAAAACAATTAATGATTCAAAATATTTAAAAGAAATATAAAAAATAAATTTATTTAAATTTTAAAATCGAAAAGTTGCCACATATTTAAATTGAGACGGAGGTCGGAGGGTATATCATATAAAGATGATACTTAATCTTAATATTTAATTAATTAGTAGGTAAGTAAGAGATATTAGTTGAAAGTAAATTATACTCTACACATTTGTTTTCATACGATAATTAATCTGATAGAGCTGAAAAAGAGGTTTTAATTTTGGTATTTAAATAATTTAATTCTGTGTGCTTTTGATGAGCACGTGTGGTGGTATTTCACCAAAGACTTCTACGTTAGGATTGAAAAAAATGTCGTCTCTAACAGTTCAAAATTTAATTTATGCATTGAAATATTTATACAATTTATGAATTAGTCACGTCACTTCTTAAACTAATTATAAGTTACTTCTGCTGTTACAAGTTACAATTCACCCCTTGTATATATAATAATAATAATAATAAATAAAATATACAGAGTCCTTATAACTTTATAATAAAGTTCAAAGCAAAATCAATATTCAAAGAAATAAAAGAGAAGTGGGTAAATAGATAAAGCTTTGATACGAAAAACAATATAAATTGTGACGGAATAATTAGTCTCTCTATTTTTTATTTTCATTCAAAATTTAATCAAAACTTAAATTGAATATTGGATCGAAAATTGTAAAATGTATGACTCTGGAAATTAAAGAGGAAGATATATGGGGAGTCTTATGGTTGGTGATCAATTTAACCACTAGGCAAGTAATTAATCATTTGTCAAAATCAATAATATTAGGTTAAACATGTGTAGTGTCACCCCAATATATAAATATGAGTAATAATACACTGTTAGTATTGTGTCTAGCTATTCACACATGGTTAAACGTAACCCAAATGAGTCATTTTTCTTGCCTAAAAACTAAGGAAAAGGACAAGAAGTTTGGCCTCTATCTCAAATTCTTAACTATCGGAATAGGTTTACATAATCAATTCATAGTTCGTTAACTAATGATTATATATTATAAGAAGTATGTAACTGCTCCTATTATTATATATATTGTTACGTTCGTATATGTATCCTCTATTAAAAATGATTTTTAAGAGCAATCAATGTAACAGCTTAATTGTTATTAAATATGTATTGTTAGCAATAATTAACATTTTTTATATATGTCCTTAAAGTCTTTAGCGACACTGGATTTAATGACACTAAGCTAATATTAATAAAAACTTTGACATTCTTTATTATATATCTATCTATTGCCGTTAAAAATTGTTTTGATTATAGTAATACTCCGAAGCACATATAACACGTCCTGGGCTAATTAGAGGGGTTTTCATTCTTTCATTATTGATGAGTTAAAATATAAGCATTAACAGTGTAAAATCAGGTTATTCGAAAGATGATCATTGTAATTTTATTTAATAGCATCGATTAATAACCTAAAACAAATGGTAAATAACATGTTATATTAGGTTAAATTCCATTAATTTTCATGTGAGAAAAATATTTATACTAGTCGTTTTTGTAAATTGTGTATAAGCAAAAATAATGCATGCATTAGCTCTGTGTATAGGGATCGTTTGGTAGAGTGTATAAATATAAAGTCCAATAGAGTATTTTAATAATGCTTACCTTAGTAATGCATAGTTATTTCTTATACATTGTTTGCTTTGGTGTATTAAAATATTGAAATAGTATGCATTGTATAAGAATATTTTACAAAAATATCCTTCACAATTATATGACTTTCCATTACTAATGTCTAGTAATTAAAGAAATTATTAATGCATTCCTCAAATACACAATAGAGTATAACATTAGTTAATCATAACTTGAAAAAGTATATCAAACAAGAAATTATATACTAATACACAAGTCAATACATCATTATTTTCGCTAAAACACTCTCCCAAATGATTTGAGTATAAAACTTATATTCGTACTTATTTAGTTACTCTTATTTAGTGGGATTATTACTAAGGGAAGAGATAAAAAGGGAGTTTTATTTTTAATTGGATCAGACTAATTGAGGATCTAGACTGATTCACAGGGTGGGTAGAAATGGTTGAAGTAGTTGGACATACTACTGATTATTAAAGAACATATATCTTAATCATTTATTTATTTTCTCTAATTAAATTATTTATCGTATTACATGCACATATATATACAATGTGAATATGTTAAGAGAGCAAAAAGTACGGTTTAAACTTTATTCTACTGTTTGAGAAGTACTGGTTTGTTCCAAATAAAGGCAAATCGTAAACCATAATTTAATTAAATATTCTTAAAACTATATGTAGTTTAATCTACATACACACATTTAATGACTAATATATATTCAAGGGTGTAATCTAGCGATCAATAAAGTAGTTGAGAATCTTGAGGTCTCACATTTAAACTCAGTGAAGACAAAAGACATTAGGGGATTCTTCCTATCTGTCTTAACCTGATGGATATAGAGTTATCTGATATATGTTGCTAGTAGGGTGGTAGATATCACGTAGAGCTAGTCGAGGTGCACAAAATTAAGCTGACCTACGATCATCAACTTAACAATATTTATATGATTATTGAGTAAAATAGTACTGAAAAATTATTAAAAGGCTGTAAGATAGTGACTTGTGATGGATAGGAAGAAGCTAAGTACATACAAATGTCAAAATTAAGCATAGTAAGTCATGTCATAGTTGCATTATAATAATAAGATAATGACATAAGAAAATCTAAAAGGTTAATTGATGCATCTATCAATGTCAATATGGTAGATGTAAAAATGAAGACAAAAAGAATGGCTGCTTATTTCTCAAGTTTTGATACATAGAAAATACCACACCTTTTTATAAACCTCCACAAAAGCATGATGATAGAGCAATATAATATAATGGATGAGAAAAATCTGCCTCCAGGGTTTAGGTTTCATCCAAGTGATGAAGAACTCATAACATATTATTTGAGTAACAAAGTTTCTGATTTTAGCTTTACTACTAGAGCTATTGCTGATGTTGATCTTAACAAGTCTGAGCCTTGGGACCTTCCTGGTAATTCTATACCTAATCTTTGAATTTATTTGGATATTTTACTTATCTTGATCTTTCTTTTCATTTAATTTGTCTCGATTCAATTCATCTTTTATAGCCTTCCCTAACACACTTTTGATATGAAAGAAACCTTCCACTATAGAGAAGCGATCGAAAGTTTGAGTCCCTTCGATTATCCTCCCTCAACCTATCGAGCTTTTTTTTCAGCCCTCTAACTTTGTGTAAGTTATATTATGCGCTCTCACCTGAATTGGTGGAAAGAGTGAACCCGCCACTACATCTCTTTTTGAAGTGAAAGTCTCAACTAGAGATGGAATTTTAGAGCTTAAATAACTCAATTGAGAGCTCTGTAACTGTTGTTTCTCAACAAGCCTGACCCTTGGGACTTTCCTGGTAACCCTATACCTAATTTTTGAATTCAATTTTGATATTTTACTTATCTTCATCTCTTCTTGATCATTCTTTTTCTAAGACTAACATCGTTTCTCGATCCAATCCATCTTCTCCTGGCTTTTCTATGCACTTTTGATACGAAAGAAACCTCTCACCATAGAGAAACAATTGAAAGTCTGGGTCCTTTTAATCACCTTTCATCTCTTTATAGGTTTGATCTTTCTTTTCACTACTTTCACTTTGTTCGAGCTAAATTACGCGTTCTCATCTAAATTGGCAGAGAGAGAGAGATGAACCGGCCACTACATCTTTTCGAAGTGGAAGCCCCAACTGGAAATAAAACTCTAAAATTTAAATAACTCAGTTGAGAGATCCATGACTGATTTTAATTTTGTTTAATTCTCTAACTACTTTAAAAATCCAACACAAATACCATAATATTTTTAAAGATTTTGAGTAACAAGCAACATATTATAGTTCCATAGAAGATATGATTTTGCAGTCAATTAACAAGTAATGTATATCTCTTTTATATAGCTTTTCATTTTATATCAACATGAAACTTTGGAATTGAAAAACTAACTAAATACATATTTAAAAACACTAAATAGAAAATGACATAATTTTTCATTCCCTCTTTTTGCAAAGCTTTTATATTTCTAACATTTTTTGAAATAGATTAAAAAGGAAAGTGCGACATACTACTAATTAAGACAGAAGGAAGGGTAATAGGTCTTATTTTGCATCATATTAAAGATAACGTACTATAATTTGTAATGTGTTGCAGCCAAATCGTCCATGGGAGAAAAAGAATGGTACTTCTTTAGCCAAAAAGATCGAAAGTACCCAACGGGTCTTCGCAGTAACAGAGCTACAGAAGCTGGCTACTGGAAAACAACGGGCAAAGATAAAGAGATTTTTCGCGGTGGAGTCGAGCTTGTTGGGATGAAGAAAACACTTGTTTTCTACAAAGGAAGAGCTCCTAAGGGTGAAAAAACCAATTGGGTTATGCATGAATATAGGCTACAATCCAACCTTGGATTCAAACCTCCCAAGGTAAATAGCAATTTTACTGACCAAACTAAGCCATTATATAAAGTAATTCATCAAAATAATATGTTTTTTTTTTTAAAAAAAATAAATTACAAAACTAGTATAAACGTATTTCATAGTAACATTTTAGGGTATATTTTATTTTTCAAAAGTTGACAGCGTCATATTGATATACGTTACTCACAGTAACTTTTTACTCCTAAAACGTTACTGTGAATAACGTCTTATTCTTAAAACGTTACTTACAGTAAGGTTTTAGGAGTAAAGCGTTACTCAAAAAAACGTTTTAGGAGTAAAACGTTACTCACAGTAACGTATATCAACCTAATTAGCGTTCAAAAATTGAAATATACCCTAAGACGTTACTGTGAAATACGTTTATACTAGTTTTGTAAAATTTTGAAAAAATGTATTATTTTAGTAAATTATTTTATATAATGACTTAGTTTGGTATAAAATTCGCAATTCTATTCTTTTACATTTTAGATTTAGAATAAAAAATAAAAATTTGTAAATGCATGCAATTGTTTACACAATTTTATTTTATTTTTATTTGCAGGAGGAATGGGTAGTTTGTAGGTTGTTTCACAAAAACTCAACTGTAAAAAAATCAAATGCAACATCATCCCAACCATCTGATCAAGTTGAATCCATTAGCGACGCTTACACATTACCAAATTTCAACATCCCTGCCCCTCATGAAGGTCAGATAGTTAACGATATTTCTCTACATAACTACTATACCAGTCAAGAAAACATGAATATCGTTAACTTGGATCCTCTCCCTTCGTTATTACTTTATAAGGCAATACAATGCAGAGGCAATTATAATCATCAACCAATGAATATTGATCCATCTATCAATACCGTGAGTTACCCTTACGGTATTCCATCACAAGACACTATTTATCCTTTTGGAATTGATTTTAATCCAACTTCTAATATTTGGGATTAATTTAGGTTGGCTCAGAGTAAATTTCATATGAGCTACTTTTTTTTGTATTTGTAATACAAACAAGTTACGTTTGATTGACTTGGAAAAATTCCCAGTCTCTATGATATAATATCTTTTATTCAAATTGATTTAAGCTCATTTTATTTTTAATAAAATAAAGAACAAATAAATATATAAGTTGCATTCCAAAATTGAATAAATTGTGATAAAAAGCAAACAAACTCCTCTAAAATCCTAAGAAATTCTTGAGGTAGGGTTCGTACTTCTAGAATATACATAATAAATGTTGGAACACTATTGTTTGGAAACAATATAATAAAATGTAACTAACGTCACATTTATTTGGAAAAATTAATATTTATTAGTTTTTCAATGTTTACTGTTATAAACATACACTGCGATAATATGTTGTTTTTTTTTAATGTAACTAATTTGAGATGTTAAAGTGAAAAAATTAATTAAAATTACTAAAAGTAAAAATGAAATATAAAACATGAATGTCAAACCATAAGCCTTATATATGGTCAAGCAATCAACAAGAATATTATTGGCTCCAAAATTGTGTAATCTTTATACACCATATACTAATATTTAGTTGTTATATACACAAAAAAAAATGTCAAAATCTAAGCTTAATAAGAATTTTTTTTTTATAATGAAATATATATTCATATAATATTTGATTAAAAAATTCTAAATTTATTATTAATGATAATTTTAGAGATATTTTTTTCTATTAAAATTATTATTATATCACCCAAAAAAGAGGAAGTTATAAATGGGAAAGTTTAGTATTGTTTGTTGTAAAAGATAATTCTGGAGTCTTGACGTTATCGGTTAGTAAAAACTGTTAAAAAAAAAAGATAAAATATAACATACGAATCAGTTGGAAATTTTATTTCTCATTTTTGTCGTGAAAATTATAGAGCCTTGCTTCGCACTAAACGTGATGCATTTTCCTAGCCTATGAATAAGCAATTCTTTACACAAAATAATTTACGTAACTGCTTTCCGCTAAACTCTCAGATTTATAATTTTATAACTTGTTTTTAACTAAACTCACAGTATTATAGATGCATATCCAACTCATTCTTCTATAAATTCACCACAAAAATACACCTGGTTTTTTGTACTCAATCATGAACCATGCACAATTCTATCATCATACAAACTCCAATCAAGCCATAGTCAACAACAACAATAACAATAACCTATCTTCTCCTTTGAAGATAAACAAAGCCTCTCATCACATCAAAAAAAGTTTATCAAATTCATTACCATCTTCTTCCTCATCGTCTTCATTATACAACACGGTCGCGGCCACTACCTCAACCACCATCATCCCTCATCAACAGCAGCAGCAACAACGTCAACCGGTTATCATCTACACTCATTCACCAAAAGTCATCCACACGCATCCGCGTGATTTCAAGGCATTAGTACAAAAACTCACTGGTCTTTCTCCTGAAGAGGTCTCTTCGAGTCCTCAATCAATGCCTATGCCTCAATATCATCCAAAATCCGAGCCAATAAACGGGGAAATGGATCATGATCATGATACTATAATCGGTGCTGAAAGCTGTTTTGGAGATGAACAAAATAATTATCATCGGAATAATATGACAAACATTAATACTAATATTAATGAGAAATGTGATTTATTGATGAATGATGATAATGATTCGGTTGTCACGGATGAAAATAATGAATTTAACGGCAGCTCCTGTATAGGAGATAATAATTCATCAGCTTCTTGTTATGTTCCACGTAATCCAATTTTTGATCTACCTATTATTAATGATTATAAAGATACTAATAATAATGATTTTAGTAATTATAATTACAATAATAATATGAATAGTCTTAGTGATTCTCCAAGTTTTTTTGATACTAATTTTACACCTTTTGATCCTAATCCAATTACTAATTCGTCTGATTATTTTTTCTCAGATCAGCAATTATCTAACTATACCGATTCTTTATTTTCTATGCCTAGTATGAGAAACTCCTTTTCTTCATCCTCATCAGAAAGTATTAAAGAGCTTCCAGATTTTTGATTTTTTTTTTGATAATTTTCTGATTTAATTTTCCAATGATTTATTACTATTTTTTTTTTCAGTTAAGAAACAAAAAAAAATGTTTTTTTTTTCTTTGCGGAAGAGTCTAGAATTTTGTTTCAATAATGAGATGTCCATAGTGAAAAGAGGAAGTGTTATTTTTTTTCAATTACCGTTTGTATTAGTTGATAGCTAGTTTCATTTGCTCTTATGATATCAATAAGAGGAAGGTTACTTGTTCTCTTTGATTGTGATGTACGGTGTAAATTCTATTTATATCTTGTTCATGTACTGTCTAAGATTGCTATTTAATTCGAAGATCTCACTTATAATATTATTATATTGAGTATGTTATTATTATAGTTATTATTGTTGTTGTTATGTCCCTCTTTTCTATATATGTGTTTTACAATATTCAGTATTATGCATCAATGAATTTAGTGTATTGTGTATAAGATGTATATTTGTGCATATATACGTACTTAGAAAAATAATGAAGAAAAAATAATAATATATATATATAATTCTACCTTAATTATGTATGTAGACACTTTTTCTTTGACGAATCAAAATGTAAAACAAAGTAGCAAAATGATCTAAAGCTGAATTTAGAAAAAGAAGGGGTGAATATACAAATCGAGGGGGGGAAATGAATCAGAGATGAGTCGTGATTATGTAAGTTTTCATAAAAAAAAAAGTAAAATTATATGAGATATGATAGAAAAATATTTTTAGGTAGTTTTCCAGAGGAAAGAGTAAGCACTCACAATAATATTGTACACTGTTTTATCATCTAAATTTTGATCAAATGGCAATAAGGGAACTACAACAATGGATATGCACATTTTGACTTGCTTTACACTATATTATAAATAAAATAATACATCACTTGTTTCAACTTTTAAATAATAACTAATTGTATTAGGGGTACATTATTTGGATTAGATAAAAAAATCAAATTAAAATAAATTTTTATTTGAATTGGTTTACGTAAAACCGAATAAATCGAATTATATATATTAATAATTATATATATATAATATTTAGGTTTACAATATAGATTACTAGTAATTTAGTATTACCATAATATTTAGGCCCATATTAAATTATTGTCATTCTATTTGACTAAATTTTAGGCATTGAATTTTACCTTATAACTATAAATATCACATATTACTCGTATTTTTTCATGAAAAAA